ACACACACACACACACACACACACACACACACACACACACACACACACACACACATAAATATACATACATACACAGGGATCAGAAACTACACTTATCCAATTGTGTGAAATGGAAAAAATGAAGGGAGAGAACTTTAGCCATTTGCGCATGGACCCCTTTCTAGAAACAAAAATTACTACCAGCTTCACTTTCCTGTTTTCTTTCAAAATATTTTGTACTGATGACTAAAATGTGCATTATAAAGCAGTTTCAACAAAACTAATACTTTGGCAGTAATGAGACATTTTATAGCTAGGAGAGCAATAAATAAAAACTGGTTACTAGGTAACCTGTCTAGAAAGAATGAGTGACTGCTTTGGAATAAAATCAATGAAATACTAGTAATAATAATAAATATAATTTAAAAGATTGTCATGCATGTTTATGAATCTACAAAAAAATATAGAATGAGGCTGTTTATTACACCAAAAGTGATGTCCATTTCAAAATTAGTGGCTCCATTGAAAGGTACTTATGATCCACTTTGGGGTTGCAACCCACGGTTTGATAACCATTGGTCTTTGTTTCATAATGTGATTCCTGTCATATTTTAAAATATTTTGTTTAGAATTGGAAGTGCTAATAAGATTAAGTTATTAAAGAAAATGCATTCTGAGTGTCAGTTTTGATTTGATGTTGTACATGTAAGAGGAGTAAAACCTTTAACATTTTCATCTTATTTTCATTTCATGAAGCAATATTCTGATTCAAGGAAAAAGTGAAATTACCCTGGCAGTTTACAAGACACCAGAATGAAGAAAAGTCTAAATATTTATATGTTTAAGTTAATAGAATGAAATAATGAAAAACGATTTTTACTCATGTTATTGTAAAGAAAAAAGCATGTAATCCATATAAAATTGAAATTTTTACACTACTGCAAATGCATTAATTATGTTAGATTCTTGGATAAGATGTCATTCATAATAAAGTGTTGATAAGTGACAATGTTTCATTGGTTACAAGTTTCATACAATAATAATAATAATGTGGGGCAGATGAAAACATTTCTAAATACCATATGTTTTGTTTTAGAGGAACATTAAACAAGATAGGCAGTATTTGACATAGTTATAGTATTTTGGCACTTGTGTATAAAGTTATAATCACAAATAATATTCAACGTTAAACTGGTACACAATTAAAAACATTTTATTTATGCCTATCTATGGCCTTCAAAAAGTTGATGACTACATGTTTTGACGTTACAACGTCATCCTCAGGATTATTAATAAAGAATTAGTACTTAAGAATCTAATAAAAAGTGTTAGCATGATGAGAAACTACAAAATAATATTAAAATGTAATTTGTGAAAGAATTATTAAAAAAGAATCAGCATTTAGAATAATTAAAATGTTGACGATGAAAGTAATATAAATAACAGATTCATATTGTGTTAGGAAGTAATTAAACTCATTTAACTATATTTAGTCTAAAGTATGTCTTGTATTAAGAGAATTTCAATCTGTTTTAATCTTGAAGCTTATATTATGGCAATATACCCACTGTAACATATATTAATTCAGCAGTGTTTACACTTTTAATAGAAATCTAGAAAACAATTATATTTCTCAGTATAAATTGGTACAAAATATTAAAGGTTAATTTGTTTAAAAAGCCTTGTATGTTGTCACAAGTTTTGCTATATCAAACCACATTTAGGCTCTGCTAGGCTGTTTTGGCTTATTTTTGAGCAAAGCTTAGAAAATGAGTTACTTGGTAATTTAATAATTTTGTACTTGATCTTTCAGTCATCATTATTCATAAATATAAAAGAAAAAAGGGACCATTTAGGCCTTCAAGGCTGTCCTTGCACATCCACTCTTGAGAAAAGTAAATATTTAAACTCCCTTTCCTTATTTTCAGGAAATCACTGATTTCACTTTTAAGTTCCTGTAAAGTGTTGCCTTCTACTACTGTCAACAACAATTCATTCCATAAACTAGTCAACCTTTAGAAAAATAAAACTGATGTAATTGGAACCTAAGCTGGATGTTATCAATCTTAGATTTAGGTCCTATCATTTTCAGAATGGATCAGAGGCATTTATCCTATTGATTTATTAGGTAATCTTGTAAATTTCAGTAAGGTCATCTCTTAATCTTATTTTTAAAGAAAAAAAACAGATCTTAACCTATTTCTATAAGATAATCCTTTCATCTGTGGAATCATACTAGTAGCTCTTCTCTGAACCTTTTTCTTTATTCTGTTAAATCTTTTACTAGATAAAGAGATCAGTACTGTACAAAGTATTCTATATTAAGTTTAAGTAGTGATTTGTATAGAGAGATAATTACCTCTTTTGACATGGTTAGGGTGCTTGACTCGCAATCTGCAGGTCACAGGTTCAAATCCCCATCATTGAACTTGCTTGCCCTTTCAGTTGTGGGGTCATTATAATGTGATGGGCAATTCTACTATTTATTGGCAAAAGGATAGCCGAAGAATTGGCAGTGGGTGGTGTTGACTAGCTGCGTTCCATGTAGTCTCACTGCTAAATAAGGGATGATGTGCAAATAGCCCTCAATAGCTTTGCATAAATTAAAAAACAAATCTCTTTTGACCTGTAATCAATATGTCTAAATATGTCCTCAAATTTTATTAGATTTACAACAGAGTACTACTTTGATGGTTTGAGTGACTTACCCACAACTAAGTGAAAATACTTTTCTTCAGTCATGCTATTGAGTGGTTTCCCTCGTATAGTAAACATGTGATCCCAATTATGGTAACTTAAATGAATTACATTGCACTTATCATAATTAAAAGTCTTTTGCCAAGTATTTGTTCAACTTATCAATTGTTCAAAGTCATTCTGTAGCACCTCAGCATCCTCAGTACAACTAGATTCATTCATGATGTTAGAAAAACACATAGGTTCCAAAAAGCAAAGACAAAAGTACAAAACCTTATAACCAAAGTGCTTTTGATAGGTGGACCTTTCTTCATCAGGGGGTAAACTGCTAACTGATAAAGAAAAGTCCATCTTTTTGAAAGTGCTCAGGTTATAGTGTTTTGTATTTTTGTCCTCATTTCAACTATAAATAACCAAAAATATATTGTTGTTAGTAGATACTAATTTGTGATTATGGCCATATCAATATTATTGATGTAGATAAGAAATAACAAAGGACTAAGCACTGATCTCTGAGGTACTCTAGTAACAAGGGCACAGTCTGACTAGAATCCATTAATAAACTTTTGCATTTTCTCATCCAATCTCTCAATAATCCAAGTAACTAGCTGTTTACCAACTCTACTAATGTTATTAGCTTAACATATCTTTTGGTTTTTGGTGGCACCTTATCAAAAGCTCTTTGAAGATCTAAGAACATCAAATCCACACCCTTTCCTCTGTCCAGGTAAGTAACATCCTCAATAATGTAGCAGTTTAGTGAGATAAAATATTTCATTGATGAATCATTAAAATAAGCTATAATAGCCTTTCTGTAAGATCTGAACCTTTTATTTGATAACCTTTTATATTTGTTTGTTTCTAATTATTGAATTAACAACGAAGAGTCCTTCGGTGGGTCAGTTGGAAGTTTACATACTTACAATACCAAACTTTGAAGTTTAATTCGCCATGATGAACAGAATGCACGCAGTATATTATGTAGCTTTACGCTGAAGCAAACAAAATGAACATTTTAAGCTGTATGCACGTATGTTGAACCTGATATTGATTGGCTAGTTTTAGAGTTGATTCCTAATAGATGGCGATAATATGTGAAGAGCTTTGTAATTTGCTAGACAGACAATAATGCCATCATTAATTTGTGAAGTCCAACCATGTTCTTTGTGCATATTTGATTAATAATAATTTTAAGTAATTTATCTTTAATTGAATAATCTTTTGAATGTGAACTAAATTAATGTTTTACTCTCATTTTTGTTCTCTTTTTATCGACATTTTAGTTGAAAGATTACTATTAGAATATATTTCTGTGAAAGTTTCTTTTTTGCATTGTATATGAATGAAATAAATATTAGGCAAATTACTTATAAAGATAGCTTTATTTTTATATAGCGATCAGTTATAGTTTGGAACTTCTATGATTACTATTTGTGACATTTTGCATATATCTCGTTCATTATCATATATTCATAATAGTAAAAGACACCGAGGATGAAAAAGCATTTAATAAATCATATTAAAAACTAGCTGGAGTACCTGTCCGCTAGACGGAAGTCATGTAAATTCATGGTTATCTTAGGACATGAAAAAGTTTCTTCTCTTATATGTAATTGTAAAAAACGCCCATAAAAACAGCAAAATACAAAATAAAAATTTGTATGCATCTTCCCATGGACTCAACAAACCTGCTTGCCAAATTTGGCGAAAATCCATCAACAGGGAGCGAAGTAGTGGTAAAAAAAAACACGCAAAAAATGACCATAAAACCGCAAGTTTGCTCCCCACAGGCTCAAACCTCCACACCAAATTTGATGCATATAGGGGGCGAAGTAAAAACCGTAAAATACAAAACTGAAAATTTGTATGTATCTCCCCATGGACCTAATGAGCTTCCATAGCAATTTTGGTGAAGATCCATCCACACCCTCCGAAGTAGTTACATGGAGATAGAACAGACATTACTATTATATTTATATAGATACATATAGTGCTCTCTAGAGATTGCCCTACATACATGTAAATCCCTGGCGTTGTCGACAGGGGGCCCTGTATTATTCAGTTTGAATCATGTTCACATGCGTGGATTGTATTTGAATATTGAGATAGTTTATGTACGTTACTTTAACGCTTTATCAGCAGAACTTTCTGAAGTATTATTATTGTTATTTTCGTCGATAGAGCAAATGGTTATGTTTTCTTATCGAAAATGGCTACTAGTTTTTCATGTACTTTCGATCTTCCTATTATATATTCTCAACTAGACTTGCATGTTTCTTTTATACAACTTTAGTCAAACTGCTTCTTTATATTTTTAAAGTGAAAATCAGCTTGTATTTTAAAGCATATTGTTTGAGGAATGGATGTGATAGTTTCTTAAAACACCAACTGTATGAAACAAAAATGCTTAGGTAAAAGTGATAAAAGTCTAATTTCGTAGTTATGCAATTTGTGGTGTGTCTGAGAGAATGTATTAGGTCGTCAATAAATTAATGTCGCGTTTTGGAACACTTTCATTAACCACCCCCCAAAAAACGTACATCGCGTATAATTGTTAAATAAACCACCTAAACATCACGTTAGTTTAGCCTATATAATGTGTAAAGTTTAGAGTACTCTAATCCCTTGTAGTGATGGCACACGGCGAGACACACGTTCGGCAT